CACAAACAGACACACGATCACACACAAACATACACACAAACAGACACACGATCACACACAAACATACACACAAACAGACACACGATCACACACAAACATACACACAAACAGACACGATCACACACTAACATACACACAAACAGACTTCCACACAAACAGACACACGATCACACACAAACATACTCACAAACAGACACGATCACACACTAACATACACACAAACAGACTTCCACACAAACATACACACAAACAAACACGATGACTCACAAAATACACACAAACAGACACTCGATCGCACACAAACATACACACAAACACACACACAAACACACTTCCATGCAAACAGACACGCAAACAGACTCACGATCACACACAAACACGCGTGCAGATGGTTGGAGGGCGCCACTGGTAGGTCAAACTTCTTTTCTTTCTCTGTCGTTTCTATCTGTTTATCTGCCTGTCGTTTCTATCTGTTTATCTGTCTGTCTGTCATTTCTATCTGTTTATCTGTCTGTCTGTCGTTTCTGTCGGTCTGTCTTGCTTTTTCCCGGCACTAAATGGCTTTTTTTGGTGTAAATGTTTTTTTACGGCGCTGGCAACTGCATAAGGTCATATTAGCGCATGGGACACACCTAATATTTTCAGTTGGTAGGAAATTTTGAATTTTGCGCAGGTGGCGGTCGAAGCCTACTCTTATTGATTTAAGACCACAGAGGGATCTTTAACGTGCGCAACCTACGCACGGGCCCTCCGAGATTTTTCGCCCTTGTCCGAGAAGGCTAGGTGTAGATCTTTCCTACCAGAAGATCAGGTGTGTGGCTGAAAGATCGCAGTAAGAAGGAGCCAAGGAGTAGCAGTAGAAAGGAGCCCAGAGGAGGGGGCAAAGGAGGTGAGGGGGTGGGGGCAGAAAGTGGAAATGAAAACAGACAACAGAACATTGGTAGAGAGCAGGAAAGGAGCTGAAAGGAGACAATTTTTTAGAGAAGAAAATGTTGTTGTCGCTACCCGGATTCGAACCCGGGACCTTTGAATAATGGCTGTTATCACGTGGATATACTTCTCTTTGTCGAACAAACAAACAAACGCACATGCAGGCACACGTGCCGAGAGTAGAGAAACATGGGAAGTGGACATTTGTTCTGTTATTTGTTTGTTTTTATCGATACTCTTTTAGCCTATGTTTACCACCGTTATCATTTTATTATAATTTTTGGTGTGCATTAAGATTTTTTAATTTTTTTATTTAATTTTTTT